GTTGCTAGTAAGTCATATGAACATGTGATCTCGACAATATACAGTGTGTAAACTAAAGTAATTCAGCTTCTACACATGAAGCGACTTTAAACACTATCTTTGCACTTTATCAATTCATTGAAGTTTGTACTTAAAAGTCATTCTATTTGTAGTATTAAATCATAAGACATATTCTATTTGTAGTATCAAGTCACATCAGGATTTTATAATCAAGCGTATTTGGACCCAAGTGATCTAGAGTTCTATCTTGTTAAAACTTATCCAAGGAAAAACAAGAAAGGGATATTGAAGTAATGGTGTTTTTGAGCCAAATAAATTCGAATATCCACAAGTATAAAAGCAGAACTCCGTATATACCGGAGACAAAATGGCATCATAGCGAACACATTCTAATGATGCTCAAATTTATATTCAGTGCGCTATTTTTTTAAAAATATGACCCTGTTTGCTTTCTAAATACAACAAAATTACTGCTTTACCTTCTGTTCAAATAGTTCCACAGATAAATCGAAGTCACATTTCGTACTACTTAAAAAAAGCTGTTTTTACTGTAGAAATGACAACTTCAGATGACGTTAGAAACGAGCAGTTAGAATCATCACATTAAGTTCATATAATGCAAAAAACAAAACTGTTAAAAATTGTGCAACTTAACAAACTATGCATTAGCCTTTTTATGTACGATTACGCAAAAGAAAATTTACCTACCTTTTTTGACAACTATTTCACTTTGAATAGCGAAATTCATAAGCATAATACAAGAAGTACAAATTTGATCCATAAAAAAGGCAATAGATAGAACAAATTATGGAAAATTTTCAATAAAATATACGGGAACAGAAATATGGAATGGAATACCAAAAAAATAAAAGATTCATGTACAAAAAAGAAATTCAAAACGGAAATGAAAATATATTTGTTGTCTAAAGATAAACTATAACGTCATGTTATATAGAATAAAATTAGAAACATAATGATTAGTGTACACTAGGGAATAAAAAACAACTTTTAGAGTACGATTATATAGAATGTATTTAGTAATTGTTCCGCATGTAATTTAACTATATGTACTCCAATTGAACTGATAAACCGCAATGTTTACCTGATAGATATTAGAAATAGACATATATTAACATTATAGCTAAGTATTATCTCAAGGAGGACTACTCGCAAAAGCCTTTTGGGTTTATTATAGTCCTTCTTCCAAATATGTAAACATAAATAAATAATATAACTCGGGAAATGTAATGTACTATAAGCATACTTGAAAATAAATTCAATTCAATTCAAATTCAATTCAACTTCCCAATATGATTTTCTATTGTCAACACTGCATTACACTTGTTTAGCTCGCGCATGCGCAGTATAAAAGATGGGACATGTTTCCGCTTGAGTGAGACTTCTAGTCCTATTGTCCTATTATCTATTCTGTGCCTGCAGTATAGTTTTGAAAACACAATATTTACTTTGAAAATCATGGCGATCATTCTGGATTTTATGCAAAAGTTTTACCCTCATTTGGAATTGAATTTCTGGTACGAAAGTGTTCAATATATAATGCATCCTACAAGTTTGATTCTTGCTGAAAGACAGGGAGATGTTATGCCTTGAAGGTACAAAGAAATATGTGTATTTGAATATATAAAAATATCATAAATAAGTATTTTATATTATATAAGTATTGTATAGTATGCTATATTATATGTTATACTATATTTACTACTTTATATAATATATTATGGATATTTTGCTTTGCAAATCATGTGTAATAATCCATCTTTATATGTTCTCTAATTATATTATGTTATTTATGTCCTGGGAAGTGATTCATCCAAAAAATACTGTCCAACCCACATTTACCCATTTTTGGCCCTGACACCTTGTTTGACAAATGTCGCCAAACGTCCGGATAACTTTGAATTTTCAGAAAAATTTTTCCGTCGTCATGACGGCAGAGGAAAAATATTAAAAGTATGAAAGCACACAGGCAAATTGGATAATTTGTTCAGGAATGACGGATAAATATTTATAGGGGTGCGCTCATTGTGCGCACCCCAGGTACAAATAGGGTTAATATGACAATTACGTTTTATGAGTGTGATTTGTGTTATTTGGTACAAGATTTTTACAGTCTTTCAGAATTATTCGGGGGGCTTGCCCCCTCTCCTAGTGTCCGCCACTGCTTCTCTTCATTAAATATTACATAATATGAAGGTGCAAGCTAACTGTAATAACATTGTAGGGTTAGACGAGACAGTTAAAACTAAATTATTTTTAAGTATTTACAATTTTACATATATTAGATATCAGTACTTGCTCCGAGCGGCTACAGAAAGATCATACGTTGTACTTTTTCTTATTAAATGTCTTCCTTTCAATCCCAATTTTTGATGAACAGCATACCATGCATTAGGTTTTTAGATAACCAAGAAACAAAATTTCATTAAACATGTCAAAAAGTGGGAGGGGGGGGGGGTATAATTAGATATTCGTCCCCCCCCCACTCCAAAAACTGCGGGGACGCGTCCCCCCCCATCCCCCCCCCCAGGATTGACGCCCATGGTGCTTTATCTATTTAGCATAAAATTATCGTTGCTTATGTATTGTAACCTAGTCCGCAGAACGGGCGAAAGGCATAGTTTGTATCAAATATAGAAAGAAAGCTATCGCCATTACCCCGTATTATTTACGACCAGCGGGAGTCCGCATTGTCGATTATAATTAGTTGCGCAAGACGCAAGTCAATACAAATGCAACAATTTCATGTTGTATTTCATATTATAACGTTGTAGTTTCATATTTTATTGATAAGAAATACTCAAAACGATGTTTGTGTACAATAAACATGAAATCATGGGTATTCATCGCGCTTGTATGGATTTGCAATCTTGAGCAACTAATTATAATGGACAATGCGGATTCCCGCTGGTCATAAATGATACGGCTTAATGGCGATAGCTTTCTTTCTATATTTGATACAAATTATGACGTTCGCCCGTTCTGCGGACTAGGTTGCAATACTTAAGCAACGACAATTTATGCTAAATAGATAAAACACAACATAAATTTGATGGTCACAACTTGCTAGACCTACATTAACACAATCATTGAATTTTATTTGGATAACAGCGCACAGTCACCGAATAAATTGACATAAAACGGAAAATATTTACTTCGTTCGGCCAACTAGACAACAAAGCAATTACATTCGCTTGGTACAACATGCTATGTACAACATTAAACCAAAATGGCAATTGGAGAAAGCGAATTTATGACTCCGCACAATGGGTTTCCATTTAACCTGTCTTTATTGACGTTTCAGGCTATATAACTGCTCATGTGAAGAACGAATAATAACATAAAAATCGGTAAAAAATTTCCCGGTTCAAAATCTATAACATTAAACCATAACAGGTTGAACTTAACCTTGTTTTCATTTTAAAAATCGCGCCAAACTTGGTATACCCATATTTCGACCTTGGCTGAAACTTGACCCAGGCATTAATCTACCTGAGAATATGTAACTTTGATATTGAACACAAGAGAACAACAGGGAAGCGGTAAATCCACATTGGCATTCAGGGACGTATGCAACCAAATGTGAATTAAGATAGAGTTAGGGTATGGGGTTAGAGTACATACAAAAACATATACCAGCTCCTCGTGTCAGGTTTTGTTTTATCCTGATTCAGCTTTCAAATTTTTAACATTTATACAAATCTGTATTATATACATGATAACTTGAATGTGGTGCAATAGCCAGGAGTCCTAATTTGATTTTAATCAGCTGGTATACACCCTTTTCATAAATGGCTGCCGATTAAAAATTCTTTTGTGTGCATATAAATTGGCCCAACTAGCCTCGCTTCTGGGTAGAAATTCCTTTGAAATTTTAACATGAGTACGAGGCTAGTTGGTCCAATTTATATGCACATAAAAGAATTTTTAATCGGCAGCCATTTATGAAAAGGGTGTATATGTTTACCAATTTATAATATTGTCGTAAATAATGATGTTAGATGTAAACTAAATTCAAGAGAGAGAGAGTGCCTCGCATGGGTCTCGAGTTCCTTTCGCACTCTTGCCGTTTGAACATCGTTCAATAAAGCTGTTAAAACAACGAAACCCCCTTGACTACTTTTTGCAGTATTACTGCGTATACTCACCTCAAAAAGCAATTTCTATTGACTGATCAAAATGACCAACTATTGACCTTCTAGCGTCACCTAAAATGGAACCACCAACATTCGGATTTGTCAAAATTAAGGAAATTATTACGCTAAAATATTTTAAACACTTTCATCAGGATATTTTTAAAGAAAGTTATAAGAGATCTTGCCTCATATACAGGGTCGTAACTAGACGCTGTTATTGGGGGAGGGGGGGGGGCTGCTTATTAATATATTCGTGTTCAGCGCTACTGATTTATTTTGAAAGCGATTGCTTTTATGCTATGTGAACATGAATATCTGAATATGCAAACCCCCACAAAATTATCGCGTCTAGTTACGGCCCTTCTTATAAAAAGTTAGTATACTAGGCAGATGACATATTCCTCGCGGAAGCATCGCCAATAGCCGACCGTAGAAAATAGCAGAAAATAACCTTATGTAGTTACGTGTACTATAAAAACAAAATATCGATAATTATGTGTGACGTTTTTAAGAGGATGGGGGTGGGGGTCTCCAGAAAGACGTCCACATGAAGTTTCTCATGGGCGGCAATTTTCTTTCGAAAATCACTTCTGAAATAATTAAAATACTCCATACAGTACTTCTATAATTTCGACATGTCTGAATATTGGAGTCACCACTTAAAGGATATCTACAATCAGTTTCAAAAGTCTTGGGACAGATGCCACAAAACCTTTGAATTTCAACAAACGACAATCCCCCCGCCCCCTGTTCAATGTTGTGTCGCATTTCTCGTCGGGTTTGATGTGTTTTGGTTTAAACAACATTGATTGGGGTGGGGGCAGGGGGAGGGAAGCGGTATTGCGTGTAAAAAACTATAATGATCCACTTACAAACTAAAACTACATGTGTCCCAACAACTTCTGAAAGTGATTGTCTGGGCCCCATATGCCATAACATCATTGTACATTTCAAAAGTACAGGGAATAGAATGCTCTGCGAACGAAGTATTTCAGCTCCATTTCGTTCACAGAACATCTAATGACATTATAGAACAATTAAGTTTCATTAAAATTCTCAAAGTTAATAATTAACAGAATATGAATATAATTTGTTATGTCATATTGCATTCTTAATCACAAAGGTTTTATACGTTGTTTGTTTCTACAAATTTTGGCAGAGCACTAGTAGGTTATTTGAGAGGTTATAGTCCGTCAATAAAGATAGGTATCGCAAATGTTTTACGCTAGATATGTCACACATACTGTTAACTTATAGCATAGTATTATAACATCCGGTCACTTTCGCATGCGGGTAAGGGCTGAGTCAACTGCTAATTCGGGTACTCCGAAGGCAAAGAACGTTTGATTTTTATCACCAATAGTGAATGTGACATTTCACATCTTTCTAGAGCAGAATTTGCAGATATAATTGTCGACGCATGGGTACGAAGGAGCACTCAGTGGGTGGGAATTTCGGAGGCTAATGGAAAGGGCGGTATCATATAGTATATATAGTCACTTCCACATGGTTAAAAAATTGTCCGCAAGATCAAGTTGGCGAGCTATCGGAAAGCTCGAGAAGAGTAAGTTCGGCATTTAATTGTACTCAGTCAGACAATCCCAAAAATTACTATTCAGCGTATTGGTACGTGGTAAAGAATGAGCCGGAGTTCGTGATTTCTCCAGGGCTTATAGACCTCCCTAATGCTGACGCGTTAGCAAGTACTAGCGCGCGCGACCCGCCGAAGCGAGAAAGTTGAACAGGCTTCCAAAAATATGTAACGAAAGGGACTCGCTGTATACGGCGTTGTACGCATTATACAACACAAAGTTATTGTTATACGCTAATTATGCTAATGCGCGTTTCCGGTCCAGACGAATGCAATGAAACTAACATCGGTTGTCACTTCGATTGTCACTATAGAAATATGAAATAATGGGCAACTAGGCAGCTTTTAAATCAGAACAAGGCTAAGAATAAATTGTTGAGAATGTCTAACAATGTATTTGCTATTAATGAAAGGGTTTGAAATTGGTTAAGCCAAGTTTTGGATCGATTGACACTTTTCTACATAAATAAATCTGATATATCATAGTGATATTTCTAGAGTTGAGTGTCAATCGATACATTTTATACAATTTATACACTTTGTGATTAAGTAGAACCCGTAATATATAAATACGAGCTACCTAAACACTTTTGCTTGGTACTTAATATTCTGAAAATTATTATCCAGCGACAATTGAAAGTTATATCAATGAAAATGCTATGTGTTTCAAAGTGACAACCGAGTGACAATCGAGCACGTGTTCAAACCGTTTTATATTACATACATATTTTCATGTCAAATATGCACAATCTTTAAGTGGTTTTCAATAACTTACCCTTGCATTTTATTCAGCAATAACCTAGGTCGATAATTAACCAGATAGATGTGTTTTATCCCTTGCATATAGAGCAGGTTTAATCTCTCAGCATACGTCCCTCCCCACATATCACATCTGTTTATAAGCTCATTTATAATATACTGTTCAGTCTGTTGGATTATGTTACATTTCAAATGTATTGACCACAACAAGCACAGTATAAAAGCATTATATATGCCAGTGCAATTCAGTAAATATGTTATACTAAATGCTATACGATTTTTGCAAAACTGATATTATAAAACACTCGGTAATTCGAAGAGGTTAAATATGCTTTTCATTGCCTTTCAGACAATCAGTTTCAAAAGTCTTGGGACAGATGCCACAAAACCTTTGAATTTCAACAAACGACAATCCCCCCGCCCCCTGTTCAATGTTGTGTCGCATTTCTCGTCGGGTTTGATGTGTTTTGGTTTAAACGACATTGATTGGGGTGGGGGCAGGGGGAGGGAAGCGGTATTGCGTGTAAAAAACTATAATGATCCACTTACAAACTAAAACTACATGTGTTCCAACAACTTCTGAAAGTGATTGTATATCTCAGGTTTATGTCATAATTTTCCAAGATGCAGTAGGTAATCCTAAGATCGATAGTCTATGATATTCGGTAATATCGTAAAACACAATGTGATATCCTAAGATGCTGTATTGTATCCTACAATACATCATGATATCGTAAGCTATACTGGATGATATTCTAGGACACTGAGTGATATGTGGCATTACGTGTTACTGGTACATCAATGTATCAAGAAAATTTTATCCGCATTTGAAAACTGATACAAATTTAAAAATATATTTTCTTTTGATGACCGTTCTTTTCATCAGGTCGATACCCAGTACCTTATCTGTTAATCAATAACTATTCTGGAATCGACGCAATTGATTTGCTAACTCATGATAAAACTGTCGTTATCCCTGGGCTTAAAGATAATAAACGGATGTCAATTGACACAGTGGAAATGAAACTATACTTCAGAAACGGCAGCAGTATATCCAGGGCTAACCTTGATGGAACAGGTGTTGAAGTTTTTTTGCAAAATGTTGAAGTTTGGAAAATGGAAATTGACTGGATGAGGCGTAGAATATTCTGGATATCTAACGCAGATTGGCGGATTTACGTAACGAATTTAGAAGGAAAAGAGAAAAGACCGCTGACAGAAACAGGGCTTTGGAACTGGGAAATAGCAGTGGATCCAACAGTAGGGTAAGTTATATTGATTTGAGTACTGAATCATTTATGATGTGTCATCAACATAAATTATAAAATATATTTTTAACAATAAATTTATTTTAATAACATTTCCGTGGACTATACGTATAGTCTAGGACAAGTACATGAGTTTGTATGCGTTTCATTTAGCACAAATAATCTTAACTGTTTTAGAGGAAAATGACCATAGCGGTCTATATGGCATATGTGCCAAAACCAGAGTCCGGAACGAAAGTCCTAAAAATGACACCGCCCTAAAACTCCAGCTCTAACTTCCGAAAAGCAAAAGCGACAGTATTTCTGAAGTGCTTATAGTGTTTAGATAGGTTGCTTTTAGGGGTATAGTTTTTGGAAGGAAAAATTTGTCTAAGTATAATATTTTACAAGTAAATGACCATGCACCATCCCTGGTAAATTATTAATTATGCACAAAATAACTAATATACCTGGCAGAAATTAAATTTCCTTATTTTCTAAAAAAAATCAAGGGATGAAAAACGATGCTTGATTAATTTGATATAATTATTGTGGATTTTATAAGAATTGACATTGTTTTTTATAAATGTAATACATTTCATTTCACTAACCCCTCACGAATTTCAACCATATTTTAATAATAATAATAATAATAATATAATAATAATAATAATAATAATAATAATAATAATGGAAACTTTATTTATTTCATAATATACCATAAAACTATATTTACATTGATAAACCTCGCTCATAAAGGTAGTTTAACGATATATACTTGAAAAATATTTGGCTTATATAAATTTACAAAAATAGGAAATTTAATATTGTTCAAAATTTAGAAGCTCTGGGCTAGTCCAGTCTTGGTTTCGCTGACAGAATACATAATATGATATGTGAATACAAATAGCAATGATTTTCTTTTTAATGTATTTAATTTGTTGTTCATCGAACTTCAGTTCCTTGAGCATATCCGTTAAGGTGTTCGTCGATTGACCAAAAACGCCTAGCGAGCTTATGGATACATTAACAAAATTTACCTTATCATAGTTACTTTCTTGATCTGAAATAAGCGGCAGGTATTTTTTATGTTTTCGATCTGAGTTAGAGGTAAGATTTGTTTCAAAGCCAACAGTCAGTTCCAAAACATATAAAAAATAATTTTTAATTGCCAAGAGAAGGTCTGGACGTAACTGATCACCAGTGATAACTGACGGAGTAATAAAGCCAGGCAAATCTATGTAGAGTTTGGATCGTTCGGCACTCATAAGGCTGGATGCAATGAAGTTCAGGACTGAATTATGCCGCCACGTAAATCGCCCTTCATCTAGGTATGCTTTACAACCAGAGATGACGTGCAGAAGTGACTCAGGAGAGAAGCAAAAGGAACAATCGACAGACGATGACAAACCCCATTTGACCAGGTTTTTCCGAGTAGGGAGGGAGTTGTTGATATAACGGACAGTGAAATTAAATATATTCTTAGGAAGTCTGGATTAAACGGATGACCATAAGGAATTGAATCATGACGTGGAGTTTTTGATGATACTTGAGAAGAAAGAACCTTGTGAGATAAGGTGGTTTTGTAGTCTCTGTTCATTTTCATTCCTAAAGGCTTTCAAGACATCCTTCGTATTTTTATATATATCATACTGAATATTCTTGTTCGTACTTGTTATTGACCATAATTTGTTGATGTCTTCGTTTATAGACGCTTTTAAAGTTGAACGAGAAACAGTTTGGCATTGGATAAATTTCGTCAAAGGCAAAATGATATTCAAACCAAATTTGTTTTGGGGAAGATACACATTGCTAAGGGTTGCAGATATTGGGAGTTCCAGCCATTTTCGAATATATTTGGTAGCAACGTTATCTAAAGTTTCGCAAATCCAAGTTTTAGATATATCGGTTATTGTTAAGTTCCATGAGATTTTTGAGAGTAAGTAGCGACTATATAGAAGAATTTTGTTTCGGGGGTGTAAAGGTAATTTATCAATTTTCGATATAATATCATTAAACAGATCACACAATTCGGATTTGTGTCTTTCATCGGACATGTTGAAATCGAAACAACGACCAAGATAGCGGAAAGATTCTCCGAGTTCGATACGGGGTATAAGTTGGTTATTAACGAACAGCTTAGGTTGGTACTGGATAGACTTAGATGAGCGTTTTTTAATTCCAAATGAAGAGCACTTGTCAACACGTATTATCATATTGGCCCATTGACACCATACTGTGAAACGATTGAGCAGAATTTGATTTTCATTTTCTTGGCTGCTGATGACAGCTGCGTCGTCTGCGAATTGAAACCAATGGATAGGGTTGCACGGAATACCAATTTTAATCAATTTCCAAAAGCCAAGCTGGGCGCATTTCTCAGATTTTATGTGCTGAACGAATGTGTTAAAGAACATATTGAATAAGAGAGGACTGAGACAGTCACCATGTAAAACGCAACGTACGATTGTGATAAAAGGAGTACTGAACTGTTCTGTTATAATGGATGTTTGGAAGTTTGTATAAAGACTTCGTATTAGGTTGTTTATTTGACCTGGGATGTGATGATAATAATAATAATAATGGAAACTTTATTGAAATTATATACGTATATATACAATTATAAATCTCACTAATTTAGGTAATTTATAATTGACTACTAGAACCTACTTAATATTTATATATTAATAATGAGTATCCTTAAATGTTCAGTAATTCCGGATTTAACCAGTCCTTATCTCTGCAACAAAATATATGATATGTTGTCCTAATCGCGATAGACATAATTTTCCTGATAGCAAAATATTGGTGTCTTTTATCAAGATCTAGATCAGTTAACATATCTAAAAAGGAATGACATTCTTTTGAGAAAACGCCTAAAGAACTAATTGACAAATTTACAAATTTTACGGACTTAAATTGTTTCTTTTGCTGTGTAATGAGATCTTCGTATCTTCTTCTTTTCCGATCAACATTTGTTTGTAGATTAGACTCATAGCCAACAGAAAGTTCAAGGATATAGAGACAATCCGAGTTGATAGATAGAAGTAGGTCTGGGCGGAATTTGTCACCAGTTACAATTGATGGGCTTTTATAACCAGGAAGATCGACGAAAAGATTGGAGTTGTTTACAGGTTGTAGCGTTTGTGCTATGAAGTTCAGAACAGAATCATGTCTCCATGTAAATCGTGGGAGGTACGTTTGACATCCAGCAACTACGTGTAAAAGGGTTTCAGGGTTTAAGCAGAAGGAGCAATCAGAGTTGGATAATATTCCCCATTTAGTAAGGTTTTTACGAGTTGGAAGTGAGTTATTAATGTAACGAATGGTGAAGTTATAGATGTTCTTTGGGAGGTTTGATTGGGATTTAGACCATATACCGTTTAATTTCGACAGTGAAAACTTAATGACATTTGAGAAGAAGGAGCCTTGCAAAATCAGATGATTCTGCAGTTTGTCTTCTTGTCCGGAGGTAAAAGTTTTAAGGACTTCCTTTGTCGAGGTGTAGACGTCGTACTGAATGTTTTTGCTTTCAGATGTTGTTTTCCAGAGGTCTTTTATGGAATGATTTGGAGAGGTCTTTAAGGCGTTACGAGCAACTGTTTGGCACTGAACAAACTTAATTGACGGCGGGTAGATATTTAGACCAAACTTGTTACTGGTAAGGTAGACGTTAGATAAAGTTCCTGATATAGGTATTTCAAGCCATTTACGTACGTACTTGTTCACCACAGAATCCATATTTTCAGAGACCCAGGTTTTTGATAAGGTGGTTACAGTGAAATGCCAGGAAAGTTTGGATAGGAGGTAACGACTATAAAGCAAAAGTTTATTTTTTGGGTGCAAAGGTTTGAGATCAATTTCAGACATAATGTCGTCCATGAGAGTGATTAGCTCTTGTTTGTGTTCTTTTTCGGACATACTGAAGTCAAAGATATTCCCAAGTATCGAAACGACTCTCCAATTTTAGTGGCAGGTATCAATTCATTGTTAATCAGACGTTTAGGTAAATATTGGATAGATTTTGTGAGACTTTTCCTGATCCCAAATGTTGAACACTCACATAATAATAATAATAATAATAATAATAATAATAATAATAATAATAATAATAATAATAATAATAATAATAATAATAATAATAATAATAATAATAATAATAATAATAATAATAATAATAATAATAATAATAATAATAATAATAATAATATTAATAATAATAATAATAATAATAATAATAATAATAATAATAATAATAATAATAATAATAATAATAATAATAATAATAATAATAATAGTAATGGAAACTTTTTATTAGATATTTACGATATATTATACCTCAAATTCAAATTGTCCAATCAGGAAGCTTAGTTTGTGCCACGTGAGCATGAAATTAATCGCGAATCACGCCTTACTTCATCAATTAGCGAGCCTGCGTTCCTTTTGACAATGTTCCACCCCATGTTCCCCGGGGAACATGGGGTGGAACATTATTCGCGTAGACCACGCGAGACAACACGCATGACAACAACATGGCCGACAAAATATAAATACTATTAATGAGTGATGAATGATTCAATTTTAAACGTGAAACCTGGGGCTTTTTCAAGACTTTGAACCAAACTTTGAAAAATGGTGTCATTAATATTCCAAACGATATGCGATTCGAAAGAAAAGCGATGATACTTGCGTTAATCCGAAAGTAAAACATCGTATTCACGAAGCCGAAGGTATATGTCAAGTTTTTAATTCTCAACTTGGAGGCTTTTAATTTTCGGTATAATATATCATTTATAGACCCTCCGCTCGGGGGAGGATGACGGATGATGATTGACGGAGGATGATTATTCAGGCAAATTGTACATGCTGCTTTTGACCCCTTGGGGGTCAGGCAGCACTTTCCTTGGGGTAGTAACTTCTAGTTTATTGTGATTTATTGTAAAATTATAGAAATGTACTGCATGCTCTCACATTTGTACAAATGACACGACGTGTGACAAGTATTAAATATTTAGTTGTTGTTGAACTTTGAACTTCAAGTATGATTTTTAACTCGCCAGTTGACAGTTGTGACGTCAACCTAACACGCCGCAGGACTCAAAAGTGCGAGATACTTGTCTTAAATGTCTGAGATATTCCAATGTCTGAGAAACACGTTGCAAAGATCCGAAAGTGTTAGATACTTCACGGTCTGACATGAACGTCTGGGGCATTCCAGTGAAACGAAAAAGAGATACATCGTTAAATGATACATCGTTAATTCAGCTTCCCAACTTTTACAAAAATTGCTTCGCAATTTTTCGCAATATTCCAAATCTCTTCGCAATTTTATGAAATCGTTTTTTCCACAGATGGTTTCACATATGAATAGACCATAATTTTAATATTTTTAATATTTTTAAATTTGAACTCTATAACTTTTTCAACTGAAGTTATGAATAATTTTATGCATCTAGATATTCTATTGTAGTATAATGAGACTTTTTACTGATGTAATTTAACCTAATAGGTTACAAATCGGTATTTTATTAAATTATCAAATTAAAATTTGCGATTTGCGAAGCGTTAATTCGGATCCTGCGCTTTCTATAAGACCATTGACAACGCTACTTTGCGTTGGTCAGAGCTGGAAGAACTTGTCCTCGATTTGGAAATAGCACTGAACAACAGGCCTTTGAGCTATTTGGAGGATGACATTCAACTGCCGCTGCTCACACAGAACTCCTGATATTGATCTGCGTATGTGAGCAAAATACCTGGCTCGTTTCGAGGAGATAGTTCGGAGTCGTTGGTCCAAAGAGTATGTACGTGCATTCCTCGAGAGCAGCCCAGACGAGCCGGAGGCGAACAGACCTTGCATCCGAAGATTGGCGATATCATCATTATCAAAGGTGAGGCACAGAACCGTAATCACTGGAAACTTGGGCGTTGTCGAGGAACTAATCCAAGGGAGAGATGGGATAACACGAGGAGCTAAAGTCAAAACAAGCAACGGAATTCTCGAGCGAGCGATCCAACACCTCAGCCCTTTAGAATTATCATGCGACCGTTCGCTGCCTCTAGAACTTAACCCTACAGCTCCCGAGTTCATGCCAAGATCTCGAAGAGATGCAGCCGCTGCAGCAAGGTTACGAATTCAAAACCGTCTTAACGAAAAGGACAATTATTGACTTGCAAAAACTCTAAAGTCAGAATAAGGACGTTATACTGCTAAATTTAAGTAACATTCTTGTTTTGTTCGAACGTCATAAGGACCATAGGTTAACATATATTTCCTTAAAGGAATATATATGTGGGGAGTGTGTCCGGAAATAGGAAACCGGATGTAATAAATTACTACATCACATCGTACGATGGTGTGGCGTTTCTTTACATATTTTTAGACACTTTATATCTTTTTTGGGTCGAAGACAGGGTGTGTATTTAAAACTACTGAGAAAAGCTAATAAACTATATCTATGTGATTTGATTTGTTTTGGGGATACTATTCATTTGGAGGCCAAAAAATCCCGAACAAAACTTTGTTTCACGGTTGAACTGCCACTAATTCATAAAAGTGCAGGCTTATTTCCAGTTAAAATCGAAAAAAAAACCGTGTTGTACTTTTGTAAACGTAAAACAGCAAAATATGTCCTTTTAAAATGAAAAAAAACAAACAATTACTTAGACATTCTTTACCAGAGTTTGTACTCGCGCATGCGCATAATTATAACGTCGACAACTGTCCATGACATAAACAAAATGGAGGACAACTTTGCACTTCGCATATGTTTTTACATACCCGGGTAGAATTAGCCGTGCTGAATTTGTACTCTCGCCGTCGCGGCTCGAGGATTAGCCTTATCTCAAAAAAGTCGTATATCTTGAAAATTTCTGTATGTACCAGCAGATACTGACCTTTTCTTGCGGATGCTGACGATTTCTTAAGAGGTGCGCATCCCATCAACCCTCCCAGAAATCCCATTATGATCATGCATGACACATTGTTTTATCAACCCGAAAATGTTGCTACGAAAACCTAGAGTACAATTACGATAAACGTGGAAATAACGTGACAATAAACACTAACTAACGTGAAAATAAACCCATATACATAAGTAGAG